AAATTAAAATCCAATATTTAACACATTTTTCAGAAAGTCCTATATATATATATATATATATATATAATCCAAGACAGTGATGCAGAAAATCATGACTGAAAAGTATGGTAGACCCCCTAGTTTTGTTTGTTTGTTTTTATTTAATAACCTTAATCTGTCTTTAAGAATATAATAAAAAGGTCTTTACATGCAATCAATATTTTTTTCTTTTTAACCACGTGTCTCAACAATGGCTTATAAAACTCTTAAGAACTAAGAATACAGCATACAACAAAAAAAGCATACCTGCATCCAGTAAAAATATTTTCGGCTAGATGACTTAAATTTCAAAACAAACACCCTTCCTGTATTACACTGTTGCACTTTCTTAAACTCCACATCATCTGGGAAAATTATTAGATCCTAATGAAAAAATAAAAATTCAGATTCTTTTATGTATCTAGATTCAAGCCATAAATACTACTTAATTATAATTCTATTACAGAAATGCTTATGATTCAGGAAAGGGTTGACATTTTTTAACTTCTTTAATAAAGATATCAATAATAATCATATTAGGAAATTTAAAACATTTTAACAAAATGAAAATGTTTTAAAAATTATCAACTGAACATTTTAAATTATTAGTATTTACAACAGTAATAGCATTTCTATCAATTTTGTGTAATGTAATTTTTTAAAGATTTTGAAGAATCTTGAACATCACAAAGGTAATTTATTAATGCTGTGTCCAAAAGATATTAACATATACCATATAATTTAAGGAAAACAAGGGACCTGTCCCATCCACTAAACCAAACTTTAAAATAGAATACTCAAAGCCAGCCCTTATCAAGCTTTCCCTTAAACTCCCTCAACCACATCTGACGACAATTCATTCCAAAGGCCAAACAGCCAATTAAAAAAATAAAACCTTAGCTGAAGATGACTCCTACCTTGAAAAAATATGTTTCCCTAGTTCTACCATTCTCACCATTAAGAATGTAAAAAGATGATGCATCAACACCATCAATTCCTCAACAATCTTAAACGTTTCAATTGCAGAAAACAATTTTAAGAGATCTTAACCTATCCTCATGTTACAATCTTTCCATTTTAAGTATCATCCTCATAGCCCTCCTCTGAACCTTTCCAACAATTCAATGTCCTTCCTAAGTTAAGGAGTCCAAGACTGAACACAATACTCCAAGTGTGACCTAACCAATTTCTTTATGATGAAATATTAATCTGTCAAGACATTTATTCAATATTTCTGTATATACAATATGAAATCCTATTTTTCCTGCCACTGGTAACAGTGCTGTTTGAATGTCTTAAGAGACTGATTAACCAGAACACCAAGATCCTTTTCTTCCATAACTGTTAAGGCTATTCCATGAAAATTATACTTATAAATGAAATTATGATATACCACATACATTACTTTACATTCATTAAATTAAAAGCCATCTTCAATTTATTTGCTCAATTCACCAAATAATCAAAATCCTTTTGTAAAGCAGTGACATCCTCCTCATAGCCAGCAGCATCCAGAACCTTAATATCATCAGTAAATTTAAATAATTTATTGACCATTCCAACAGTGGTGTATTTTCCATGTTACTGCATTTACCAGCAGTAAACAAGCCTTGGGAGAATTAAAAAAATGTTTTAGTCAATACAAAAAGTATTTGAATCTCATCTATTACTAGCACAAATACATAGTTACTGCAGTTTTGAAAAACCAGTGACACAAGATACAACCACCATTGACCACAGTGACTGTGCAAATACCAATTATATGTCATCTATGGTTATTGGTGGGGCAAAGACAGTTCAGCCTATCGGCATGCATTAAACACCTTGGAAGTATATCACTCATGATTGAGGTGCAAAGTAGGGTAAGTAAATGCTGGATGGCACAAATTTAGTATTATTTATTATTCTAAATGCTAATTTATCTTTGGTTAGACATTTTTCATGATGATTTTAGATATTCTTTTATATGTTTTAATTACTGTTATATAATTATATATAAGTGTGATAAACCAAAGTCACTGGCTAAGATACACCACTGCATTCCAATATCTATCTCATTAACATTATTCAAAACACAGAGCCCTGGGTACTCCACTTGTAACATTAATCCAGTTTTGACT